ATGTATGGATGGATGGATGAATGAATGAATGAATGAATACTTTATTGAACCTCCCCAATGGGGCTTTTCAGAAACAATAATAATTATAAATCTAACACAAATGATATGGAATATTTAAAAAATTTTTAACCATAACAAAATTAAAAGCCTATGTAGCAGCTTGGTCTCATTTTCAAACTCAAAACGAAACAGGTGAATTCAGCTTGTTTGTGTACTTCACGTGATCTTTCTTTATTTAACTAACTTATTTTCTTACCTTCATGTCGTAAAACTGGGTATAAATTGATTTTTCATCGTACTCTAGCTCTTTTCCTTCGATAGACCATACTGCTCCTCTGTCGTTCAACTCACAAACTCCTTTACTTTCGTCCAAACTTGAAACTTTGCGGAAATTTGTCGAAACGCATCGAGGGTTTCTTTGACACTTCAAGCCACAAGATACCAGACTGGCAGAGTGAAATGTGTTGAAGGTGAAGCCTTTAAGCCGGCGATGATTACGAGTTAGTACGGGACGAGACAGACAGTTTTCATCCCAAGCAATTGCTTGAGATGATAGGATTTCACACAAAAATATTACAACGAGGAAAGGTATAGAATCCATTTTGAATTATTCTTTGACTTTAAAAACAAATACCGTCTTTTAATAATGCTTGACAAAAGAACTAAAATTAATTTTGTAAATTCCTAATGTTTACTTTCTTATCTATATAAAAGAGAACTTATTACGGCATGTAAATAACAGCGAGAAGCGCAAATACTATTACCACTGACACAAAATGATGGTGAGTGTTGTTAATCTTGGCTAATCTCCTACCCAGATCTCACTCTTTCTGAACATGTAAACCGTTTGGGAGACCTGGGCTCGACACTAAGGCTTGGAACTTGTTAAGTCAGTAACAATATATATCTTAAATAGTGGGGAAAAAAGAGAAAAATTCCCAAAAGGGAACGGCACGGCGCGAGAGTACCCGTGCGAGGCGCTTCCCAGAATTATATGTAAAGAATAAGGTGAGCTATTTACAAGGCATGTAATAACAAAAGAAAAAGCTATTTACAAGAATATTAAAGCTATAAGAAAAATATGAAACACTGACACTTGAAAGAAAATTAGAAAAAGGAAAATTAGCTTCCATGACAGGAACAGTCCTTAACTATGAAAACCATTCGAGCAGACGACCTCTAACGCCATATGATCTTAGTTTCGCTAATACGATTTGATGGTCAACGGAACAGAAAGCCTTTATTAGCGAAATCATGATGTAAAATTTCAGTTTGTACATTTTTGTTATCTAAAAATAACTTGAGGGATTACCTTGAGAATAAGGTCCATATGGGAGATGGAAACTGTCTTACCCATCATCCTCTCCTGGCTTTAAAATTAAAACAACATTGTAAGGAAACGTGGTTCACAGTTGTCTTTTATATGAACATTTGTAAGCTGAGAAATTGACCGTTGAGTCTTTTATAAATGGCGAATGTGTCATACTACTATTATTCATAATTCTTGAAATAATGCAGGTATAAAGCTTATTTCAAATAGCCGACATGACAGATGCAGCCAAGTTTATTGTACTTAATTTGTGTTCAGAACAACAGTGTTGTTGAATAGATCATTGCCAGTGGTCTCTTCAGCTTCTCATGACTGCTGGAAAATTAACCTGAAAGCAAAAAATATATTTTAAACTATCAATGTCGTTGATTTAGAATTTACTGAGGCTTTGAAATCAAAGATGGTAAGGCCTTATCAACCTTTTTGCTCCATGCTGTTTGGCCACGCCCTGGCCTGCTTGACAACACCTCATTGTAAAAGGTGTTCATTCCAATAAATCTGTGTAAATGATCTCCTTCCTACGTGCAAACTGGGAGACGACAGAGCTAGAATCGATCGCGCTAAATAACTGCAGGCGAAGAGAACGTCATGAGCAAAGACAGAAAACTTACAGGAGGGAACGTAAATTTGGTGGCATCATGACAGCTTTGAAACATAACTCTTTCCGTTTTTTAACCCGAGTATCAGACTCGTCGGGGAAATTTTATGATCTGACATTACTGTGCAAAATGCCCGTTATCAGTTTTCATTAGCACTCATCAATCCTCATAATTCTACTGAGCTTTTCATTAACTCTGACTCAGAAACGGAATATATTTTCGTGTGATTAACCTTCATCAATCTAGAGGGAATGATAGACTTTCGCCTACAAGGAAGAGCATTTTTAGCCGCAACATGTTTGTAACTGAAGGAGAGAACGAAGCTAAACATTTGTATTCAACTTTTCTCGGATGCCTCAAGGGCACCCTTATTTCGTATCCTTTACCTCCATGTCGTAAAATTGGATATAAATCGATTCCTCATCGTACTCTAGCTCTTTTCCTTCGATAGGCAAAACTGCTCCTCTGTCGTTTACACAAACTCCTTTACTTTCGTCCAAACTTGAAACTTTCCAGAAATTTTTTGAAACGCATCGAGGGTTTCTTTGACGCTTCAAGCCACAAGATACCAGACTGGCAGAGTGAAATAGGTTGAAGGTGATGTCTTTAAGCCGGCGATGATTACGAGTTATTACTGGACGAGACAGAGAGTTTTTATTACAAAATTTACAACGAAGAGAGCAATAAACTCATCCATTTTGAAAATTTACAATCTCTGCAGACCAGGTGTTTTAATAAAGTCGTCAAATCAATGTTACTTCTTGCTTTTATGAAAACCAAAGCGATGTGTAACTAGTGGAGACTAAAGCAAATTAAACGAAAAATAAGTGATCAAAACATCCTATTTGGATCCATTATCTAATGCAAAGTAGGGGCGTAGCCAGCTTTTTGCATAGAGGGGTTCCTAATGTATATCGCTTGCCCGATTGACAATCGAGCGCCGGAGGCACTCTTTACAAGGGAGGTCGGGGGCATGCTCCCCCGGAAAATTTTTGAAATTTGGGTCTTCAGAAATGGCGTTTCCTTGATTCTAAGCACAAATTTCCGATAATTTTAGCGCCAAACGTAGCTATTATTTCTAAGAGGGGATTGCAAATCTCACTTGCTGAAGAGATGGACCTTTATAGAATTAAAAGTGGATAATAAAATAGTTGTTTAACATATTACATACTTCATCAAACGCCGTAGACTTGTGATTTACCGTTCACTCAGCTAGGATATCAGAAAGAAGGAGGC